TTGAAACAATGTTCTTTATTTGAAAATACAAATATCTTAACTAATACGATAGTTTAATTTACATTTTTCCTATATATTTTACCATTTAAAACACTTTTAAGCTTTTTATACAAAACTATCAATATTTCACTATTCTATAGGAATTTATACATGAAAACAACACAGAATTCATCTATTTTGCTCATACAGTCAACGTGAAACATTTTACAAGTCAATTTTACATAAATTGCTGAAATTTACGAATATTTAAATTTCTATTGATTTAAACTTTAATTCCACAGATTGGTACACTGATGTTGTATCCAACTAGATGAACAACTAACTTTTGCCCTACACCCTGTGGTCGGTAAAGCAGATGGCAATTTTAGCTTATTTCCCTGTGATCCATCACCACAAGATGAGCAATCAATTTTTGCACGAGCTCCATTGTCCAATAAGAATCTCTTATCAGTTATCAAAGCTGTTATCAGTTATCATGTTCTTATCAGATAACACAAAGAAAATATTTCATGAACCAAACATTGAAAATAGACATTTTACTTTCGTACAAAATGTATCAAACTTATATAAGACAATACTTATGTCATTATTTTACATTAATTCCACTTATTCACAAGGTGATCATTTCGACCGGGGAACAAATCCTGGTCTTTAACTTTATTTTAATATTTCTTTAAATTATCAATATTATTGGAAAGGTGGTTTCAACCGAGGAACTGAACCCGGAAACATTCGTAATCGGTTAACTAATAAATTGAAATGTTTTTATAGACGCGTCGCCAACACCATACTATACTTTTTATTAACTTTTACCACCAGCCTCACTTAAGCCCGTAGCAGGTAATTTCCTGTCATTAAAATTAATAAATCGCCGAAACGCAATATCTTCAGGCCAAAGATTCTTCTCCACGAACATTTCCGTCATATACCTGGGAACAAACACTATAAGACTTATAATCTTTTTGAAATTTCATTTTTTTTTCATTTTTCATTTTCACCAGTTGTACAGCAACACTCGTTTTGCATAAAATATAATCGGCAATTTCCTGGGTTGAAGTCTCTTTATCAACATTGTTTATAAACAACGGTATTCTTATATTTGCTGCCTTAAATTTACCCGTAGGATCCTTTACGTGCCCCTGTAATCCAATAAATAAGTCTTTTCCTCTGCACCATGATCCATTCTTCATCCCTTTTATTCAGAAATTCGTATCCTCCCCTCGCTACTTGTGAGAATGTACTTCGTTCGTTAAGTTTACTCATTGGCGCAGTAGGTACCGCTCGCTCGTTCCGCTACACCTGTAGTTGAGGCCACCAGCGTCTGCGCGCACGCATTAGTTTCGGACTGCGTCTGTGCGGAAACCGCGGTGCTCGCAGAGGCCTCCACGCGCTCGCCCTCGTCTATTATGTTCGCTTCAATTGCTTTTGGTTGCTCGACAGGGACAGGTGCATCCGTAATTGCATGCTGACTCTTCTTGTGCGACGCATCCAGCTGACATTGTGAGTCACGCTGAGTTACTGTATTATTTTCAGCTGTTGTAAATGCCGTTTGATTTTAAGTATTTTTTTCTACCTCCAAGTTTATAAAACCAAATGGCCCGCTATCCGATTCAAGTTTATCGCAATGTACTAAATTACTCGTGCCTCTTTTCTTATTTAAGGAATGTTTCACTTGGTAATCATTTAACAGTGACCCTTGCTTCATATTATCGATCTCCATTTTTAATTTGTTAATACGCTCAACCGTAGCGTACTGCTCTGTCATAAATTGAACTTGATCTTTTAAGATAATTATGTCTTTCAGTAATCTCGTTACATCGACATGGTCAAATGTACCCGGTGGTAGTTTTCTTAGCACTCGGGCTACGAATATGGGGATTAGTTCTGCTGATGTACACTTGATAAGGAGGAGGAAGAAGGAGATCTGCTATGTCCTTTCTCTTTATCTTTTTCTCTGAAGTTTGATAGAGTAGGTAAGTCTTTTGCAGCCGCAATCTCTTCAAGAGTTTTTTTTTATAGGATAAGGGTGACAAACGAGCACACAGTCCACCTGATGGTAAGTGGTTGCTGCGGCCCATAGACATCTACATCTATCCTCTATTACAAATCAAAATGCAGATGCGTTGTCACCCGTGAGGACTAAGATGGAATGCCTCATTTCCAGTAAAAAGGGCCTCCGGCCACCTTCACTCACCAAGCGAAATGCAGAGGTAAGCCTCTACTTCACGCTGGTATTCTGTGAGCTCGTGGTACCACCCCGATTCGAGCCGGCCCATCCGTGCGACAGCAAAAGCCGCCACGTGGCTCTACCACTGTTGAAAAGAGTAAACGCAGTTGCACACAGGCGAACTATGCTTTCTTCATTCATCACATCTACTTGATTCTGAATAAATATCAACCTTCACTAATGACAATGTTACAGCTATTACATTTTACTACATTCACAGACATTGTACAGAACGCCACACAACTCTTTCACGTTAAACACGTATTATCGCGGCTACGTACGCGACAAGACGAATATAAAATAGCAGCTTAATGCTGCTGTGTTTGGTGTGGTGAGTGTAGAGAACCGGAGATACTTTTTACTGAAACGAGACATTCCATCTTAGTCCCTGAGACCCTTAATCGAGGATTATTTTAGACGTCTACCTTCAGGTGGACTGTCTGCTCGTTTGTCATCGTCCTATATAAAAAAAAATGTAAGGACTCTGGATAGCTGATAAAAGGCTCATGTATATCTAACTCATCATTCCTGTATAGTGTATACTCGTACATATTTAAGATAATCGTTCCCGCTGGTACCAAGAGTACCCTTTTCCGCGCCGTTGAAATATTATAACTATGGCAACGGATTGATTTGTATCTATAGTGAAGGAGTAGAATTCCTATTCTGCCCAGGAGTTCGTTTGAGTAGGTTGCTCTTACCTATTTCTGACGCCAAACATCTGTGCGTGCACTTATAAGTTTATGTGTGGGTGTGTGTACGTAGGTTAGCGTGCGGAGGCGGAATGACACGACTGATCTCTATTGAGTTATAAGCGATCGAGAACCGTGGAGAAGATTTTGATCGACAGTTTTTACTTTGACGTGGTATCTTTGTGTCTGTGGTGGATCCTTTACGAAATCGAAGAAGCGTCAATAGCCGCGTCCGCACCGGGCGCTGTGCGGTTCGTGAGCTTGGCATCGCGAGGCAGCCTCAATAGTTTGCCCGAAAACACAGAGCCTCGCCTCGCAAGGCAGGCCGAGCCGTCAGAACTTCTGACTCAGAAGCCCCCGAGCATCCGAAATGGAGAGTTGTGTAATTTCTACTCCAGCTACTTTCATAGTAGCTTATTGCTGAAGGAAAAGGAAACAGTCACAAAAAAAAAGACCAGGACGCTTGTGGATTAAAAAGAAACTTTATGAGCATCGCAATCAATACGGAAATAAATTACTAATGAATTTGGCATTGCATTTCCAATTTTTGCCTCCAATTGTGTTCGCGCTGAGTTTTTCAAATTTTTGGAATTCCACAACATCCACTGTTTAATTAAATTAGATGAATCGACTGATTTTCTGCCGACTTCCAAAAAGGAGACGGTACTCAATTCGACTGTATTTTTTTGTGTGTTACCTCATAACTTTTTATTGCGTTAACCGATTTGGATGATTCTTTTTTTATTTGAAAGCTGGTACTTCTCGTGTGTTCCCATATGAATTTAATCAAGGTCAGACCAATAGTTTTTGAGTAATTCTTAATAAATTATATTGAAGTCGGCTGTACAAAATTTAGTTTTAAATTATGAGTGTTCATGTTGATGAAATTTTTCGGTAACAGCTACATAACAAACAACAACACGTCTGTAGAATAGCATCGCGAGCTGAAACCACCGTCCACATCGAACGAACAGCGCACATCAGGCACCTTTGAGCGCTTCCCGTTTACCGACAGCAGACCCGTTTACCTACAGCCGGCTCAACCCCGAGGCACGATCAGCCGAGGCACAGAATAGATAATAGTACAAGTAGCCGAGGCAACGTGCGCTCAAACGACCTGAGGCACATCCATACCGACCGACACCGAGCATTTGGCTCACGAGCCTGCCGCGCGAGACCGCGAGCCCGGTGTGTACGCGGTTTTAGCCGGATGGTATACTAACCCGACACGGGGCTCGTGGATTACTTATTCCCTAAAATAAAATAAAGTTGCTGTGTGGGATACATATTTCATTGCTGGATTGCGCTAGCAACGTTTTAACAGGATGTAGAAGTGTCTGAGGCGGACCAGAAAAAGTTTTCGAAAATTGTTACAGACGCATGAATTTGTATAGATGCTGTTGGAGAGTTCTTTGAAAAGATTTAATAATAAAAACATGAACCATATATTTTTTTAGTTTGGCCTACGTATATTATAGTGGCACTAGTGTTATCCTTTACAACCTATTAAAAAGTCACCACTAAGCATAGTCCTCTCCCATATATTGCCTCTTAGAGGGATATTTGCAGTAATTGCAACGCTTGGCAAGCGGGTTAACATCCGTATTTTTAGTTTTTTTTTTAAGGAATACGTGTCTGCCCATCCCCTGGTTTTCTCTCTGTCGCCTCATTTAACACCCACGGGAAGATATGTGGTAGTACATATTATTATGACGGTACAACACAGAGCTATTGTACTATTCAGGTAGAAGTATTCATAAGTCCCATGAACGTATTTTATGAAATGTTTATGCGATATGGTCGCGAGTAGGTGATTAGGTGATAGGAGGTTTAGCATAAACAAAATACGAACAATTATAAATCCATATTTGCAAATAAATCACTTGTACAAATAAAAATATTACAGGGAGCTTAGTTTAATTTTAGAATTAATGAAAATTAGCGATTGATGGCGAAACATACCGTGTCCCATGGCAGTTTCAGTAGTCCTAACAGTAAGCAACGTTATAACTAGATGGCGTTGTAATAAATTTTGATGTTTAGATAGAGACTCACTTCGCTCTACATCTCTACAATGAGTCAGATGAGCGCTGAATCGAACGTGCACAGGCAATGTCAGTCGTTAGGTGGGTCGCGAAGTTGTTAGCTAAGCCGGGCGTGTAACACCCGGTCGCGCGTTGGTTACACGATTAGCTAACATGTACTATAGTAGTTAATGTAACAAGTAATTACCAAGTAGTGAGAAACAGGATCCATTCGTAACATAAGCTAGTGTTGTGCTATCTGTTGTAGTGTAGATCGGCGTGAAGTTCTCATTGAATTTTCGACAAAATAAAAACAGCGAAAAACGATCCATGCCTTGCGTACTATAATTAGTTATTTTTATATAATACATTACTTTATGCTTACATAGATTCCTCAACAGATTAAAAAAAGGTAAGATTCTAAAATTCGATTTCCGAATAAATATTAATATATTTAGGCACTCTCAATGCAACTGATTTTTGACCACATTTAAATTCCTCTTTTTATAATTTTAAAATAAATTAAAAATAGAACATTCTCACATACAAACCACACGAATAAAAATGTCAACTTGTATAAAGTAAAACAATAAAATTTATAACCACTAATTTAATTCAAATTTATATATAGTATCAAATTCTTCGCCTCGATAATTAAAAAAAAAACATGGGAATATTTTCACGTACTATTATGAATGGCAAAAGGGACCACGAACTCTCGTTATGACCTCATTCTGCAGTACCAACGGTGTGTGTAATAACAACTCAAGGACATAGCAACTTTAGTTTGTGTAAAACCTTATAATTGTCTCTTTATCGATCTATTTACTAAAAGTATGTGTAATAAACGTAAAATACAACACCTATTTAATATTAAATAATAGATTTTTATAGGCAATTTGACCACAATACTATAGTATGCGACAGATGGTTTTTGTATGCAAAAGCTGCATTTCTTGTTAAATAATTTTGTAAGAGATTTTTTATCCTATAATATTTCATAAAATCAATGAGTTTGCCTATTTTAGCAAATAAAGAAAATGTTATTTATAACGAATTGTCACAACGGAATCAACTGTAGTAATTGTTATGCATGTAACAGCACCACATCACCTGACTTGTCGCGGTTGTTAGCTCACTGTGATATCGTGCATGCTCGGTCTATTTTTGTTTTGGCTGAGCCTACAAGACAGTCTGGGTCTATTAGATAACTATTTACACCGGCTGAAAAATGTATATCTCCATAGAAATTTCGTACAGGTCTTCATCATTAGCCATTTTCAAGTTTATTGTTTTACAAAGGTCTTCCCAAGGACACACTAACTGGTATTTCCTGGAAGACTTGTATATTACCATACTTACCAAACTGGTCTAATGAGTTAGCAAACACATAACCGATACACTCGCACTGGTTATGGTGCACCCCGTTATGAGACGGTGGGATTTAGGCAAACAGTTCAGAGCCAACTGTATCTATCGATATTTTTATAGAATAAGGTGACAAACGAACACACAGTCCACCTGATGGTAAGTGGATGCTGTGGCCCATACACACAAACCTATCGATAGGATATCCTCGATTAGGAATCAAAATGTAGAGATCCCGTGCAAATCTGTTGGACTAAGATATGCCTTATTACCTGTGAAAAGGGTTCTCTTCTCCATCGAAGCAAGATTTAAGCTGTTATTTTGCACTGGTATTCTGTTAGAGCTCGATCCCTCTACGATTGTTATGGATGCAGCGTGACTCTACCACGTGAAACGCATTGTAACTTTTGTCTGACTTTATACCTATAATGTACGCTTGCGCTCCGAGCAAAATATTTCTCGCCACTATTTTCAATACCTATAATTTCAAAAACTAGGGTTTGTAAGGAGAAAATATTTAAATTTTTTCTCCACCTTTACGTATTGTACTCTGCTAGTTGACGAACGAGACTCTAGTAACCAACTAAAGGCAGATAAGCCTTTAGTTGGTTACAGATTGCAATTGAACAGCAGCCTCATATTGCTGTAAGGCTATCGTGTTTCGTATGGTGAGTTTAGAGAGATAAATTGCATCCGCTTAATATCAGGTGGACTATGTGTTCGCTTTTCATTTTGATTTCTATAAAAATGCAGTGTCAGTCGCCTAGATACACATTATACGAGGCTTAAATTGTATGACTTACGTTTTGGTTCAAATATCTGGCTCAGAAAATTACAGGACGCATTTACAGCGTATGCTTATAATTATAATATACACGTTGCGCTCTACATATTCTAATTCCATTTGCCGATAAAATACGAATTTGATGAAGGCATCAAATTCGTATTTTATCGGTATGTGTATAGTTAAAATAATGGCTGACAACGAAAAATTTAAGATATAATACATATTTAAAGAAGAAACTAGAATAATTTTATTAAAACTCATACTATGAATGGAAATTGAACAGTCCAAGAACTTGAAATATAAAACCTGTGACATCCACACGAGTATGGGGCAGCCATATTTATTTAATTTATTTGTAACTAGTGTAAGAGATCATCCTGTGGGTATAGCCATTCAGCGAGGAAACGCAGCCAGCGTTCTTGGTATCTACCACGGGGAGTAGGACTGTACAATTAATTTTTTTTTAGTTTTAGTTTTTCTTTTAGTAAGATTTAATTTTATACTGTTTTAGTTATTGTAAATTGAACCCAAATTAACAGCATTTAAAATGAAAAAAAAAAAGAAAGCTCCAATAACAACGTTGAAAGTTGAAAAATGACAGAGGGAAATGTACATAAGCAGCATAATTTTCTTGATAACAACTCAAAATAATAAAAAATCTGTGTTTGCCAACCCGCCTGCCATGCGCTGCTTTGGCAAATATCCCTCCATTAAGGCAATCTATGGGAGAGGCCAATGTTCAGCAGTGGACTTTTGATGGGCCGCAAGGATGATGATGATTTAAAATAGATATTTTATTATTCTACTTTGTCCATGTGACAAATTTTCTCAAAAGCTGCAGCTAATATTTATTTTCTTAAATAATGGCTGCGATCTGATTGCCTGGGCTGTATAAACCTCACAGTGGGAAACTTGGAATATAAAATAGGAATGATATTACATTTTGATGTGTTACAGTACAAAGTACCAATTCATTTCTTCAATAAATGATTTTTCGTAACAAAAAGCTGCTAGATCGATTTTGATAATAACGTAATATGGGTCTAATTACATATAATTACAATTTTTTTGTTCTTGAGATGTGCGAAGAGAGACTAAAAACGAGTGTAGGTACATATACAAAGACATTCTATTTAAAACTAAACATTTCAACTAAAAATATCTTGCAATGTTGAGGATATGACATTGGAAAATGGAACCATTTGTAGAATAACATCCTATTGAGAGGTTATTGTCGGGCTTACATAATATGTATTACGATAATGTGGCTAAGTTAGCATGACAGTGCGTCTTGTCAACCGACTTTAATAAAAGGAGGAGATTTTCAATTCGACTGTATTTTTATGTGTGTTACCTCAGAACTTTTTAATTTGAAATTTGGTACTTCTCATGTGATAACCATATAAATTTGATCAAGATCTGACCAGTAGTTTTTGAGTTATCCTCAATAGTGCGTATTTAATTGACATCGAGTACATTGATGATGTTCTAATTTTATTTATGTTGAAGTCGGTTGTGCGTTTTTTTTATTTTAAAACATGTACAATTGTGTCACTGTCCTGAGCAGTTGAAAACTACGGGAGTTTTTATTGCAGTCGAAGCCAACTAAATGGAGAACTTATTATTAAATTTCGATTGAGTTTTAGTCCTAAAATAACTCCTTGCTTGTTGATGGAATGGCTTTCCTTCACTTTATTCCGTCGTTCCTTAATGAAAATATTCAGCTACAAACAAGCTAACGGTTTACCTGGCTAATATATCCTATGTATACCGGCGATCGTTTTCTAACCGAGACGATTTCAACGTTGTTATTGTAACTTTTTTTTTCATTTTAAATTCCCTTAATTTGGGCTCAACTTACAATAACTAAAACAGTATAAATTTAAATCTTACCAAAAAAAAAACACCAAAACTAAAAAAAAATATTATACAGTCCTGCTCCTCGTGGTATCGTACCAAGAACGCTGGCTGCGTTTCCTCGCTGAATGGCTATACTTAGCTTTTAAGCGAGAAAAAAACCAGCCCTCTTGTCACCAGCAGCGACAACCAGTTGTGAATACAATTCCTTTAGGAACTTCACCGCACGTGGACCCCACGGACCGATAGTCTCCACAGCAAATGGCGGAAATATGTAATATCTCTCAGAGATTCATATTTGCGCCATTTACTTAATTTAGCTGTCTCAGATGCAGCGCCGGCTCTAAACGAGGTACCCTTGAAATGAATGACCCAAAGTGTCTACGCAAGTAGCATTCCACACTAGGGCTTTACCTCTCTCCCAAGGGACCAATGTCATACCGTCGGGTCTCTTGCCATCGTCTCTAAATATTCCACAAGGCTCTAAAACCGAGGAAACGTTTATAGAGACAAGAGCTCTTCGGATCACATCGTTCAAAGAACTGTGACGGGAAAACCTACCTGCACTTTTCTTATATGAAAGTCCGTGGAATCCAAACTCGTCGACACTGCTACTACACTGTTACCACTCGTACACACTGCGACACACACTTCCCCCTTCAAGTGATGTGCCGAGACTACTTGATGGTAAAGCGTGTACCCAGTGACTAGATTCCTTAGTCGAAACAGCTAGAAGGCGGGCCTGATCTTGGTCACTATGGAAATTATGAAATAAATCTTTCTGCACACTCAGTACCAACGGAATATGTTGGTAAACTTCCAGTGGAACATTTTGGCCAGGACAGAGCGTTAGCCATGTCTGCCTTGCCTCCGCAGCAAAGCACAGGTCTACTTTATTATTTAAAATTATGTTACATAAGTCATTGACACTATGCACAGAAGAATAATGCAACGCTAGAAAGATTTCTTACACCAATGCCACCAACATATCCAGACTGGACTCGAGCGGAATAAGTATGCAAATCTAGGTACTAGAAGACAATATTTTAATATAATAAAGGAAATGCGGGGTTTTAAGATATATATATGTTTATACGTGGTAAAGAGTCATGCTACAGCTATATTGATAGTGTGGTTTGGGAATTCTCGACAATTTCAAAGTCCCGGGACACGGGACAGCCTTTAATCAAAGTCTCGGGAATTCCCGGAACTTTGAGACTTTTAAGAAAAAACTTTTTGTTTTCTTTAAGATGGTTAAGCCTTTTTTGAAGAACTTTAATTGAGTTAATTTCTGGTGAAACGTATTAAAAAGAGGCAATTTTTTGTAAAAATCAATATTTTATTAAACAATTAAACAGAAAATTAAATAACTTTAACGTTAATTTCAGTCTTAATAATTG